AACTTTCCTATGTATTTAAGCGACGCAGTCTCACTTGACCTAAATGACGCAGTAAACAGCATAATTAAATATACATCGTTTTACCGCTGCTCTTTCCTTATTTCATAGCTAGCTCGTTGCGAAAGTGTTTTGCAAATTAAATACTGGAATATGGTCGGTGCCGAACGTGTAATCGCTGTTTCAGTAATACGCGCAATAACAGTAAGCAAATCGATCACCCTAATATTACATACATTCAGATGGAAATTCAACGCGCGGGTTTAAATCTAAGAACGGAATTAGATTAATCTTGATCCTCGACGCGTTATTAATTCGAATCAATTAATGAATCAATCAATGTAATTAGACTCGTGCTGAATCCACTTAGCCAATTGGACCTGAAAACGATTGGCTAACGATTGGCGATTATTGTCGCGAACTCTATCGCACCTACTAAAATCCTACTTTACTGTAAAAATAATTTGTTCCAATATGTAAGAACACAATTTCTTTGTTTTTTTAAATGTAGCCAAGCGTTGCAAGAGAGCATACAAAGTTAAGTCTATTCGATTAACAATTGTGCGACACGCTGTTACAGCATCCATGAACGCTGTTGTAAGCAAGGTGATACAGCGATTTTCCGATACGGAAAACAAGCGATCCGAATATAGCGTGTATGCACAATTGTTTTTGTGCGCTCGCCGATGAGCCATCCTTGTTTACAGTTAGCGGCAACACACCCGAGTGCTGCACCATCACATTACATAGAAGGAAGTTGCCTCATGGATCTTGTATCCACGCGCATCGCGCGCTTTGTTTCATGAATAAAATTTCTCCAATTTCACATTCTCGTGTTACGTAAAAATTGGAGTAAAAGAGCGCATCACCGCGACGATGGTAGCGAAGTCGCGACGTCGCTTTAGAAATGCAATGTTGCGGGAGGCCCGAAAGCCGTGTGCGAGGAGCGACGTCATCACCTTAGGCGAGGAGGTATTCTTCGCGAAAATTGAACTGGCAGAGCTGGATATGTAAGAATAGAATACATAAATCTACATATACGGCAAATGCGTCGCCCGTGATGTTACAATTCTTGATTTGAATAAATAAATAATATAATATAGCTGAGGGAATGAATTGTGTGTGTGCGTAGCACTTGACACGCAAGAAAGATGTGTTATAATTAACTTTGTACAATTACTTAAGTAAAGGAAATATTAACAGAAAGTAAATTTATTTATAGGATTATTCATTTCAAATTCGTTTACTTTCTCGATTTGAAATGAAGAATAAAATAGTGATGATATAAAAAAAAATAAAGAAAAATTAGAAAAAAATTAAAAATGATAAATTTGAGAAAACAAATTAAGGATCATACATTATTTTGAAATCTGTTGTCGCGCAAAAAAAGCATTGTGTTTAATTAATTTTATAGGAATTTCTTAATTTCTAAGTAATTTGAACTAAAATGTTACATGCATAAATATTACCTTGAAAATTATTATAATTGATTATTATGTAATAAATAATCAATAGTTCGATTAAAGATTTAATTGTTTCTGATTTGTTAACTCAAATGGACACAAATAAATGATGAAATAATCGATATAAATAAAATAAATGGTAGATTAATTTCTTATATCCAGGTAATTCTATATCGCGTATCACCATTCAAATAGAGTAAATCTCGGTGTCTCCATTTCGATTCGATTCACGGGTATATCGGATCTGCACGTCGCCGAGAAAGTCGTTTTATCACAGAAGCGTATCCCTGAATATTGACCACGCGAGCCAATCGATACTCTATCGATCCGTGAAAATCGCTTAATAATTCAGAACGGTCGCGGAACTGGATTCTGGATTCCAACTCCGATAGCAAAAGCATGTAAAAGTCGAGATTGTGAAGCGCGATTGGAATTAAGCCGCGCGATTGGAATATCGCATTTAAAACGAGACAACAATTAATAATTGCTTTATATCCAGCGAAATTCCGAATGAGATCGATAGGATCAATTGATCGTGGATAACTGATAAGCGATAATTACGGATCTGTTTTTTCGATCGTTAGGAACGAAGTACGTCGGGTCACTGCGCGAGATAAGACTCGCCATCGATTAGATAATTGCTCGATTAATCGGCTAATGAGGCAATTAATGCGCGAAATGTTATCGAAGTCGACTCGTTGAAGGGTGAGACCAACAAGAGCTAAATGCGGTTGCCATGCATTGGATTTATATATTCGAAACCGGTCAAGAGTATCGAACGAGAAAAGATTGCGCGGGCGACTTTCGCGATAGCTCGACATTTTTCGCGGGCGCCAAATAATATAATGGCTTTCACTTCACGTACCGTAGAAGTCGCGGCTCGTATAATAAGCGGGGCATCACACTCGAAAACAAAAAAAATAATGAATTGGATGCAATTAGCCGCGTTTCGGCGCGCTGCACTTCAATACCTTTAAGGTTGAGATTAGCAACTGCTCATCGCTGAAGCTTACATTGTTACGTATATACGAATTATGAAAAGCGTATGCTAAAAAAAGAAAGTATATAGGAAATATGTGTAGAACATGTGTATGTGCAATAATCTTTATAGAAATCTAATATACATGTACGCGGACGAATTACTTGTTCCTGACTACATTTAGTTCAAGAATAGTCAAGTAGGGTGTTTTTTTGTACCCCAATAACGAGAAAATATGAATTGTAAAATATTGTTTTATGTGAATATTGTTTAACATATTTTTGTTTAATAATTATTTTTTACGAACCTCTAAATACAATTCTCTCGAAAATCTGCAATAAAAATATTATAGGAATTTAAATTTTTATTTTTTAGAAATTTACTGTTATGATAAACTACATAATAAGTTTTATTTAATATATTTGTTTAATTTCTTACTGTTTTCAGAAAATTATGATTAAATCCATATAACGTTCTTAAATTAATAAATTGGAAAAGAGTTAGTAATATACAATATAAATTGTGAATGAGTTGTGAATATAGTGATTTTAATTGGAGCGTAGAAACATTCTAGGTAATTGTTTAAAAAACAATGAGGTAACTACTCGGAGTAAACAATTTTTTGCATGCTTATAATGCATGCATAGATTTTTATCCTATTCTTTACTTATTCAACTTTTATCCTATTCTTTACTTATTCAACTTTTTTATAATGGCGCATTTCCATCTTTTTATAAAATATAAACGATTGTGCAAATTAATACAATCAATACTTTAAATAATACTTTTATGTACGCCTCAGTGCAAAATAAATATAAGATTAACTGTAATACAGCATTTATAGATTCCTTGAAATAATAAATAATGCAATTCGAAAACGATCAAATTTGCGAATTGTCGAGTATCATCTCAGACAAACGATGATCATAATTCAAATCGTTTACGATAACAGACAACTCACCCATTTCTTACGTTTTACGATTTTATTTCCAGTATAATGTACTATAGCAGTTGGAATTAGTAGGTTGAGGTAATAAGTAACGAGCGAACTGCTGCGGCAGCGACGGTAGGCAATCTATTTAGAAAAGAATTCAGGTCTTTCTGTCTTTTTTTCTTTCTTAAGGCCATTCAGCGACCCGTAATTCTAACTCTTTAGAACGATTTAGCATTTGCGCCAAACGTGAAATTCCTGTTCGATACGAATGCCCCGTTTTCTAACATAACGAACGGGCCGTAATCGGGATCGTGCTTCGCCATTTTCGGATCTCCTTTCTTTCTTTTTTCAGACAGGACGAACTTTTCGTGTGACAGGCTCTCGTGTCCGAATGTAAACTTCAGAGTTATCGTTTCTACTTCTCGGACATTGCATGGATAGTAGTTTTCATGAATAGTAATAACTTTCAGTTATTCGAACATTGTTGGCTTCTACTTTTTCCCATCCCACAAAAAATTATTCAAATAAATATAAAAAATTAAAGTTGATCTGTCTTAAAGTGAAGACTATTGAAATAAGCGCATTATGCGGCGCTATTAATTAATCGAAGATCCGTGTCTTGACCTCGAGGTCAGGATGTCATTTTCAACGATCGTGACTCTTCATCAAATCGCCTCTTCAGATTTCGCCTCTTCAGCATTGAAAGTTGCAACAAAAATAATAACTTCAAACTGTATTAATTTATCATACACAATACTGTCAAAATTTTTATCAGTTATTAATCAGTTAACAATAGTGTAGTAACTATTACATCGTTTTAGAAAAAAAATTTGCTTGGACCAAAAGTTGTCAAAAAGAAAAATATTTGGATTTACAGTTTTCGATCTTTTCAAACATTTTCAATAATTTATCATTTTTTTCTTTATATTTACCATAACGATAAATAAAGTCACTCTAATCTTCAATTGATTTTCTTGAACACTACAGCCTCTTATAAAACTCCTCGAAACTTTGCCGACGAAGAGTACTTGTTCTATTATCTAAAAGCCTACGTGAATCCATTCCGCAATAGCAAAACAACGATTTATCACTGTCGATGGTTGCCCAATTAATTAAAGTGATGATCACTCTGTGCTATCATTCTGCTGCTATTGGCACTGCACCTGCGCCGTCTACCGTAACCGGAAAGGACTCCGCCGTCAACGTTAGCCGTGAGAGCTGTGCAACACTCGTGTATGCCGAGCACCACGCCTGCGAGAAAGAGAGTTGTATCGTAGGTGACCAGATAACCCGGGTGGTGCTCGATTGCACTTGGTGTGGCCCGTCGCATAGAAGCCGAGTGTGTAGGCCAGCACCGCCGCTGGTGGGGCAAGAGGAGTAGGAGGTTGTGGCTGTTAAACGTGGACATAGTCACCACGAATATAACCCACAACGGGCAACTTCTATCTATCGCTGCACCATAAAGGGGGGACTCCCCTTCGTCCCCTGAACCGGGTGGGACTACGCTGCCGCGGATTACAGCCGCTTGGTACGCGGTACGTGGATTATAGTTTTTCTGGAGGGAGGGTGGTGGAGCGCCTTGCTTGCTTTCGAAAGGATGGTGATTGTGGAGCGTGTCCAGAGTAGAGTTAGGCGTATATAAGGCCCGCCGGCCCGGCCCAAGTCAGTCATTCACCGGACTACCAGCCCAATACACACACCAAACATGAAGGCCTTTGTGAGTATTCGCAACGAGGGTTGGTGAGGTGTTCGCGAGGTGTTTAACTCGTAGCCGCGGTACTTCTCGCGCCCTTCGATTAGATTTTATTGAATTTTGCTACTTTTATTCTATCTTTCCTCGCGACTTTGTCCCTTTGACTATTCATTTATTCTCAAAATCACATGTTTTTTTTTTCGAAATTATTATAGTTTCTTGATTGGATACATATCTTCTTCGCCGTGAATAAACAGTGTCGATTTGAAAACTCTTTGATTCTTGGAATAACATTGAGTCCTTATAATAGAATCTCATAAAATTTTGCCCTTTCTTATAGTCACTGCGAAACTTTATCTCTGTAAGCGCTTATTTCCGTAATGTTTTGTTCTGGCGCTTCTTAATTGAAACCAAACAAGAAACTAGGTTAATGCAAGATTGCATTTGAACACGGTGACATATCTGCAAACGGAAAGTAAATACGATCGTTTTGCAAGCTCAAAAGCTCAAAAGCTTCCTTTCATAAATACATACGTCGATAATACATCTATTAATGTCTCCATTGTACTTTTTCGTTTCTTCGCTTCTTATTGAGTCCGCGATAAAACCAACGATGATTCAATGTCACGGTTAGGATATTCTCTCGCTGTTTTTCTTCATAGGCAGATAGACGCACAAACAGACGAACCAACGACTTTCATTCATAAAGCAAAGAAATCTTACCGCATCGCGAAACCGGTTGTAGGTAGTATCATCATCGTCATTGAGTGAGCGGATTAACACGCGACCGGTTCTATTCCGCGTAGACGCATCTTCATTCACGAATCTCGCGTTCTCGGGATTGCACATACCTTGCGATCACTCTTGCATCCTCCGCCGTTGCATTTCTCGTGACTTTCCCCGTCATTTCACGTCACACAATATCCATTGAATTAGAACAACACCGGAATTCTGCCTCGTACCGTCCTGCAAACGTAATGCGCATTAACTAACGTTTTATTTTTGTGATAACTGTAATTACCTATATGATCAATAACATTGTCGATAACGATATCTTAACCGTTGCGCCAGACCTCGGAATGCCTTTGCAATTTCTCAGGGCCGATGGAAATATACTCGGCGCTCAATCGTGCTAGGCGATTTTGAAATCGGCACGTTTGATCCTTTTCCGATCGCGAGGTCGCGGGAACGCTCGGTCGATCACGTCACACGAGCACGGCCGCGAGATAGTCGTTCATTCCGCGTAAACGGGATGTGAAAGTTTCGCGTAGTCGTTAGATATGCATAATTCCAGGCCACGGTGCCATTTAAGTTTGCAACGGTCTCAAACCGGGCGTGACACACGCGCCGTCTAATACCGCTCGCACGCGATCGCGAAATATCGATTACGTATACACCGGTATATCTAATCAGCCGATTGCTCGACAGTTCTACGATCGCGCGAAACACTTCCTTTCTAAACGCCGCTTCCCGTATTACGAGCCGCAAGCGTTACGACTTTGAACGCCAGGTACATGACGTAACTTGTTGAGATTTGTCTTTTTTAATCTCAGAAAATTCTTACGAATTCCGAGAACTGAGATCCAATTTAATTAAAAATCACGGATTTCTTTTTTAATTATGAAAAGTTAAATCTCTTAATTTGAATAGCGAATGGTCGATTTCAGATACGCAAACTCGCGGGATTCAAATCAAGGGATTTAATTTTTTACAATTAAGAGAAATGAATATGATCGGTTATCGGTTAATTATGAATCGCGTGCAATATTTCATGTTTATTCGTTCGCGCGGATTTTATGCAATCGCGACTACTTTTTTTTTTACGGTCCGACGATACGCGTTGCGCGTGCAACGGCCTATTAACGGGTCTAGAAGAATTTTCCTAATACGGTAATCAGAAATGGTGACCAGAATAACCGACACGAAGGGTAGGGACGGCGCTATCAAGTTGATTATGAAATGTTACGGCGCGTAGTTACGGGTATCTAATCTCGTCGATTTTTCCGTTGATGGATTCGGGCGCTTTCTCATTGCGTTTTCATTCGCGTAATCGTTCCGCCTTCGCAATAAAATAGCACCAATCCAACTAGATTTCGAGATCATCTCGGCGATCTAGAAACCTCTCGCGCGCGAGATTGTTTCCGTCGTTTTGGAGTTCGCGAACCGACGTTTACGGAAATCGAAAGTGAAAGCCGCGATATTGCACAGATCTAGCAGTAGTCAGACCCGGTAATCGGCGCCAAGCCAATGGAAATCTAGATTCGTAACAGCGATAGTCCCAACGACGTGCACACGTTAACCGCTTCCGTAAATCGAAACTCGAGCTCACGCAATATTCATCGTTTAAAGCTTTCAGCAATTTTAACAGATTCGGTCGAATATCGGATTATCGTGCTATCGGCGTCTTCGCTTCCAGTCACGTTGAGTGACGTCGCGTGTTTCTTTTAGATTGTGTTCGCCTGCTTAGCGGTTGCGACGGCCCGCGCTGGAATTGCGCACGGCGGATTAGGAGGAGGCTATGGCGGCTATGGCGGCTATGGTGGTGGCTATGGTGGTGCCGGTTTGGCCATCACTGGACACGGACTCCGTGGTGGTGCTGGTCTGAGTGGTGGACTCGCCGCTGGTGCTGGAACCGCTACCTCCCTCCAGGGTGGTGCCTCCAGCTTGGGATCTGGCGGTCTTGGTGCCAGCTATGCTGCTGGTGCGGCGGCGGCGGCTGGTGCTGCTGGAGTTCAGCAGATCGTCTCTGGTGGTGCGTATTTACGTACCAAATCTATATTCTATTAACTCAACAACGTAGGATATATTGATGCTGAACAATCGCTCGCTCTTCCCGCAGGAGTCATTGGTGGCAGGTCTGACATCGGACCCGCTGAGGGACCCAAGGCCAATGTAGGACCCCAGACCGGACCATCTGATCTCGTAGGACCCCAGGAGGGAGCCAAGTCCGTTGGTGGACCTCGTACTGGACCCGCCAGTCTTGTAGGACCCGCTGCCGGCCCATCCACCCTCGTTGGACCGTCCCAGGGAACCGCCACCCTCGTAGGACCATCCCAGGCTACCGCTAACCTCGTTGGACCCAGCTATGGAGGTGTTGCCTTCTTTGCCGGATCTGGTGGTATCAACGGTGATGATGGAAGCTCTGGAGTTGCTGCTGCTGCCGCGCCTGGTGGTGGACTTGGTAATACACATTTTCTATCAAATAAACAAATTACATATTTTAATCATTTCTAATTTTAAGGTCTTCCCTCATTTTTCTTTTTGCGCTCACCAAGTATTTGAGCCTCCTGCTAATGATATTTTCTTCAAAAGGTGCTGGCGGTGCCGGACTTGGCTTTGGCGGTGCTGGTCTTGGCGGTGCTGGAATCGCTGTCATCGGAGGTGGTGCTGGACTCGGAGGTGGTGCCCTTGGTGGCCATGATGCCGGAATTGCTGTGATCAACGGACCGTCTGGTGCCATCCATGCTGGACTCGGTGCTCACGGAGCTGTCATCCCCGCGCCCATTGGCAAGTGGTAGACGTTTTAAGACCCCAGCGATCTCGGCTCGGCGACGGCGGCAACCCACCACAGTCACTTACCGGTCTCGAACGATCCTCAAACGCGCTCAACGTCTTCTTCCCAAAGTTTCGTCCAATCTCGGAGCATGATCGGAGCACCCTTGGCGATAGTGATATGATTCAGACACTTGGAATACACACAGAACGGTCGATCGGTCGTACTTACGTACACCACGAGCCGAAAAAGCACGATCCGGAAGACAGACGGATAAGATTATAAGAGGATGGCACTGAGATTTCGGCTACACGTGATCCGCGGCCTCGAGTCATTTTTCTCCCAGTCTCGACCCGCTACAACCGGGTAAAATTTAGTCAATTACCGTTCATCACGAGACCAATGATAAAGGAAGCTCGGCACGGGCCGCATTTTACCGATTTCTCGACACACGAACATCTTGCTGCTCCTCAACGAACTTTCATCCATAAATTAGCGAACGTCGTTTTTCGGACATCACAACAATACATACGATGTGCATTTCCGAGTTGCAACCGTGTGTCACAAAGCCACCCCGTGCACACGCGTATCACGCTGCACCATCATGAACCTAGCAAGTGGACAAGCTTTGGCACTTCGTCATCGGACCAACTGGATCTGTTCTGTTTTCTGAACACCTACCGTTGCTCCGGCTGAATCTTCTCTTACGTCTTCCACCATCCGTAAGGCCGCCGCTCTTCACGCACATATCTATTTCTCTTTTTTTTCACGGGTCGATCGCATTATGCGCACGTTCCCGGCATGTTGTTATACTTACCGCCGCACCCCAAGCATACATATTATTATTACTCGCGTTGCACATATGTTCTTCTTATATATATATGTATACATATTATTACCTATTACTTCCGCGCATATATATATGTATATATATATATATATGAACACATTGTCCACGCGCGCACACATACACATACACTGTATTTCTATATGTGTACTCGTATATATTCACACAATTACACATATATTATATAATCGTGTTATATGTTAGTGAAAAGGAGAGACCGGTTGATTATGGTAGGTCAGCCTTTCTCATGAGTGAATGAATGTAAATAGATGGCTCGCCGGCGCCGGCCCCCGACCCCGCCCGCCCTCGTCATACCCTTTCTTTGCGATCACGACTAGCACCCCACCACCACCATAGATAGATACCACATATTTATAGCGTTTATACATTTATACAATACTTTATATAAAATAAAGCATCAGTATTTAAAACTCATTCGTGTCTATTCGCATACCTTTCACCATTTAGCAAATAGATTATATTGTCAATTATTTTTCTCTGCATTTTAGGCCGCCTTTTTTATATAGCTTTTAATCTTTAAATCTTTATTGCCTTTTTAGTATCAGCCAATTAAAATTTAATTATTTCATTTATAATTAGCATTTATAAATAATTATTATAATGACAGTAAGAGTGTGATGAACGCATACAAGAAATATATGTGAAATGCACAGCAAGAATTATTAATCATGTTAAATATATGACTTAAACTTGTTTTTTAAACAAGTTGTGTATCAATAATACGAGATTTATAATATATACATTGCTTTAGCTCTGCGAAAGCTAATATTTATATTCAACGAAATATACTAAATTATTTGTTTGAATAGTACTAAATATTTACTAAATATAAAGATAAAGATTTATATTTGGTACAAGAAATCAAATTAATTTGATTCAACTATCATTTTTTTATTGAATACATATTTATTTATTATAAGTGAATATTTAGTTGACACTATAAATATTTATTAAAATTTTTTACATTTTTTCAGTGAATCTGATAATACATGTGAATTACTGAATTTTAATTGTTACAATCCAATTAATTAATTATCTATTATTAAATCGTCTGACATGAATTATGTGAGATTTCAGTATACAAAATGATTAATTGAATTAATGCATAAGACAATGAATAAGCCAAGAAGAGAAAGAATAATGCGGACTTAGAGTAATTGATTGTTTTACTTAAGACAATTGATTCGCAACAAAGAAAAAGGTAAAAACATTTGTATAATCAACAATAATTCTTAATAATAGCTTTTAATTAATTTCTTTCATTTTGTTTTATTACATTTTTGTACATATCAACATTCCTATGCACACATCAACTGTAAACTTCGTAAAAGATGGCTATATGAGTGGTTTTGCAATTGTAAGTATTGAACTTACTTTTAATATAAATAGGAATTTATATAATGGTTAATAAGATATCATTTCCTTAGTTTGAAAGTGATACAGTTAAGATATTACATCAAATTTCCCAGAAAAGGGAATTTATGTATTTGAGTTATTACATAAATAACTTAGATAAACAGTATTCTATCAATCATGAAAGTAAACTAATCATATTAAGAATATATTCTTGTTGTCGATATTTGATCAGTCAATAATTTTCTGATAAATTAAAAATTACTTTTTTGCCTTTTCTGGGAAATTTAATTTTTTAATTATTTCACTTTCGATGTGAGGGAGCGATTAATGAAAATATGATTAATGAACATTTTAAATACATTTAATATTGAAAATTTCAAGTAATATTAATCAGAAATTTTGTATACTACTTTTTACTGAAATATAATATTATGAAAACTTTATAACCATGATTATTCAATTACATATTAATAAATTTAATTTTTTCAGATGGCTGCGGCATAACAAACGTTGTAATATGTGTACAATTTATATAACTACATGTATCGAATATCTATAATTAATACTGATTTTTATTGAGACACCGAATGAATATTGCAACCGGTTTACGAGGTTAAATGTTCTAATTGTCCAGACTTGTGCACGTAATTAATAAATTTATTCAATATAATATTCTGTAAAATATTGAAGATTATAAATGTATAATACAACTAATGAAAATTCTAATATAAATTGTTAAAAACAACAATATCAATACTAATTTAGTATTTTTATAATACGTATATATAATTTTCTTTTTTGTGGCATAAAAACAAACAGTAAGAAGTAAGAATAAGAGGAGAATAACAGGAGAAAAAATGAAAAGAATGTATAATATTCTTAATTTATGAATTATTTCAAAAGGATTAATTATTTATTAAAGAACTTGTTAACTCGTTAACATTAAAACTTTGTACTATGAATTTTCTGTTTGTATGAAAGATTTTCTTATTTTCCTTATTTGCATGTAATTGCTCTTATTAAAATGTGCTTAATTATGAAACACAGATTGTAAATTATTTAGTATTTAAAGTATGCTTTATCTTTTGTAACATCTTTTTAATAAGTTTGTTTTAAAATTTGTTAGTGAATTTTATTCTTTTTTTCTAAGTGAAAAAGTTAAATATAAAATAATAATTACACTTTACATATTATAGTAAAGGAACATAATATAAATGTATTTAGTCGTTAGCACGTTAAAGTTATTTCTCATATAGTTATTAGTCATATATTCACTATTAAGTTACCTTAATTCTGCAGAACAGAAACACTAGATCAAAAACCGTCATTTAATAAAACATTAGGTTGCAAATGGACCGCCTGTTGCGTTAACCTTCTGTAATAAAGAAATTTGTTTTGCTAATGTTCGCGTTAAAAGCCGATATGATCTATTTCAAAGTTTCACTATTTAATTTGTGCTAATAGAACCACAAAAAGATACTCGCTTGGGTTACATAAAACATTTTTTTTTTATCAATCACAGTATTTTCTTACTTGATTATATTCAATTATTCGGAGAGACATTATAATGAAATAAAATCGATAAAATTGCAAATTTATAATTACACATTAATACTACATTCCTCTTATTATCGTTTTACGCGAAATGTTCATTTATTAAAGGATAAAATACTATCTAAAGGTATAAGCTTCGTTATTTCAACAGATTAATCGACCAGACATGTCGTCTAGGTATTAGCTTTGATATGAACGAGCGCTAACGATGCCAATTAAATCAAATTAATTACAAAGTCGTCAGGCCATGCTGGTTTTCTCCATTAGAAGCGGATAATTCTCGCTTAAGCATAGAGAGCTTCTTGTGAAATTGTGAGATGAATATGATAATTTGAAAATGAATAATTATACACGAATTATGCATATATATGTACAAGATAATTTCTATTTTTTACATATAGTTCATATAAATTGAATTGATCATTCTATTGCAGTATGCTTATTAAAAAACAAAGAGATCTCACTTTGTTAAATTTGTCATAAATTCTCATATCTACAAAAGACTTATAAAATTTTTCTGAATACTGAATACATTCGACTGCTTTTACATTTTTCCTCAACGTACTACAAATAAAATAAAAAGATTAAGTGCACGTGCTAAGACATGGAATTGAATAGAATCTCTTCAGCGAAGAGAACATGGACTGGTGATGTGGCGGTGAGCATGAAATTTGAATACACTAAGATGCAGACTCTTTTTTATATTCTGATTTTTTTACCTTTTATTTTTCCACTTTATTTTTGCGAGATAAAAATAGCATCGATTTCCAATCTCGCTCGACACATGGAAAAAGTCATATTTTCTCGAGATGAACACTTTGGTTTTTCAAATCTATATTCGGCGTAAAATTCAAAAATAAACATCGTAAAATTCAAATGGTACCAGTTTCTATTTTTTATAAAACACTGTGCATTGAAATTTCTAACTTATTGTTGCGGCGAATAAAAATTAAAACAAGTGCAAAAAACAATTTTTAACAATGTAACTTTTTCAACGATTCATCTCTCTATTTAACGATTTAACTATTTTTAACAAATCCGCAAATTGGGTTGTCTATAAAATATTGACTTTATTTGCGTAACAAAAATTGAACGGAGTAGTAAATTTAGAATGTTATTTTCTCGAAAATAAGAATTATAAAATTTTGTAAATGTTTTTTTTTTGTTTTGCGTATCATTATTTTAAACATTTATTACATTTGTCATTTCGAGACAATTGAATGTATAATAGTTAAACGAAATTTTTTAAATTAATAATAATTAATTGGATTAATAATATACGCAACAATTGCAAAAAAAAAACAAAATCATAAAGAAATAAGAACATTTTCTTATTATTTTTATTAGATATAAATAATAAAAATTTTTCCAAATTTCTCGCTCTCTCTCTCTCTCTCTCTCTCTCTCTCTCTCTCTCTCTTTCTCTCATAATTACATTTAACAAATATATCAGGAATATAAATTATGAAATAAAATACCAATTTAACCTGGATTGAAATAATTTCGTATGATGCATAAAGGAAAAAAAAATATGAAGGCGATTATGATATTATTGCGAAGCGTCATAAGTTGTGTCATGGAAAATGTGCGTTTCGTAACGATCGTCAAGGAATAATTAGTGGAGATGTTAGAGTGCCGGATACGAAGAGGCGCGGTCCTTTCACTCTCGGGGGTGTGCAGTGATTATTGCACGCGTTTCTCAGAAAAACCTTTTTTACAAAGCATTATAAGATTGTTCCACTTTTACGGTCAAGGTTGTTTCGCTTTTAGAGAATTTCTGATATTATATATTACAAGCCTTACACGTTCATATGGATTGTAATAAAATATAAATTTATGTTGAGTTATTGATATTTTTTTTAAGAATTTTCACACTCCAGAAGATATAAGTCAGACACATTTTCTAATACTCTTTAGATACCTACATTTGCGAGATCTTTCTAAAATTATTTTTATATATGATTATAATCGGTTTTTTTCTTTTTTCGACAAATTGAACTTTGACTAAAATAAGTTTTACACTTCCCATGATTTCACACAGAGCGGCGAGTAGGTTGCATGCTCTCATAAACATCGCAGTGCATTGCATCCGCAGACAATAACTGCAAATGTCAGTCTCACCATTAGCACTGATCACGTTCAATCGCAGCGGAGTAACCATACCTCCTTTGATCGTAAGTACGAATTTTCAGAACGTGATGTAGCGGATAAAGTCGTATTACGGCGCAACACTTTGTGAAACATTTACAGACGCGTAGTGCAACTTAAGCAGAAAAGATCATACTTAAAGGTTGAATTTTCGATTTTTTTCAAGGATGTACGCCGTTTGCCTTCTCTATTCATCTGCTAACAAATTTAAAGTATCTCTTTAATTTGCTTTCATATTTTTGCATGATCTTTAAAAATGTATTTGTGCATAGTTTTAGATTCGTATTAAACTTTATTATAGAGAGAGAGAGATAATTGTATTTTAAAGAGCAGGTTTAAATACCAAAATATTTTATGCAATAATGATGTATATGAGATTACTGTAATACTTAAGTTTACATATATATTTATAAATAATATATACTTATTTATAAATAAATATATAATTTAGATATCCAAATATTACAATATTCTCTTTTTTAATTATATTTATGTAAGCATTTTATGTTTAAATGAACATATATATTTAATAATGGCAACATACAAGATCAATTTTAAAATCAATTGTATAAATGATGTTTTAAAAGTAAATTTTGCACTTTTACTTAATCACTTATTATAAAAAAATATTTTCTTCAGTATAGAACAGTGAATTGCAAGAGTAAACGACATAAAGTCACAAAAAAGATTTCTTTATACAAAAATCATTCTTTTCGCAAGACAATGAGTATATGGAAAAATCTCACGGTATTCAATAACTTTTATTTGAATACCATAATATTCACGTGAAATTAGAGCATTCGAGTTCACGTCTCTTTCATCGTACCCGTTAAAGGTCGAGTGCGCGATGTCGGTTGGCTTCATCGATTATATATCGCATTGAGAAGCCCATTAATTCCTGAGAGCGCAGCTCTTTCCCAGCTAGCCTGTTCTCGACAAACACGTCGATTCACCTTGCACATCGCATAAATTGCAACCTAGAACTTCGTCATATTACTGCATTATAGCGGTATTCCTCATATCGTGTTACATATACTTATAAAATAATTATTCCCTCTATATATCAGTATGCAATTAATGTACAAAACGAGAAAGGAATTTAATTTCAGGCAATGGATAAAATTCGAAACGGTCAAAATCGTAAAAAGAATCTTTTTGTATCAAATCTTGTTATACTGAATAGTTTCATGTAACTTTTTATTCAATTTATATTGAATAACAAACTTTATTAGTGTTACGCACGTAAAGTAAACGAGTGTAATCACAAATTGCATAAAAATTTTATCTACATACTATAATATGTGGCGCATATAGCATGATTATTTGTGATTACACTTAATGCTCATAACGTGACTTTATGATCTTGAAATATATGCACATTCTCATAACGAGCACAGTTAGCATTAGCGTATGTAATCACATTTATTTTGACGTTGCCTGAAACCTCGCATAATTATAACGCTGCTGAATATGTAAGATGCATTATATTTGCAGATTAAATATGCGTAACATATGCGTAGAATCAATTCCTTGTATCATATTTTGACACATCTATATTTTTGCATCTGTTTATGATGTGTGAACTCTCTTCGACACATTTATTTCATTAATATTTACGTAAATTTTTATTACACGTAAACTTCTTATACTAGGAATTACGAGGAATTTTTGATGAGATTACAAAACCGTTTCTATGTAATCTCCGGGGTTAAGGCTCGATTACCCTTCTCCTGAATGACTCAATCGCGCGATTGACCTATGCTGCTACGTGGTCACGCAATTGAGATTTGAAATCCAAGTAGCGAATTCTTCAAAAAAGCTTATAACTCTCATCTCGATCAAAATTAAATTACTTTGCTCTCAGTATAACGGTTGAAATGATTTCTCTGATGTGTTTTATTAACTGATGCAATATGTACCTCTTTGATTTTACAGTGTAATTGATACACGTTTATGGAATACCAAGAACATAGAACAGCAATTAATTAAAATAATATACAATTGCTGTCAATTTGTTTGTAATAAAATATAAATTATGATACAATTAAAGTAATAATAAAAAAAAACAATTCAATTAAATATGTGTAATTATTATAAACAAGTTTCTTAAAGTGAACTTCATTAAAGTAAACTTCACAAAATTATATTAAAAATTATAAAATTATAAGGTATTGGACATATTTGTGTTTATTACAAAAAGATTGTTTGAATTTATCTCACGATCTAAAATTTTCTCCTTTAAAATAGCATAGAAGAGCTTCAAGCAATTTGTTTACTAAAATGTGTGATTCCTGATATCTTCCGAAAACTTACTTTCGTCACCATTTACCTTCCGCGCATAGAGATGAAAATCGATAGGTGGCAAACTTTAGACGAGAGAGAAATATTTTTCGAAGCTCCGGCGTCGAATGAACTCATTTTAACTTTTTCCCAGGATTTCATCCGTGGAAGTCATTCGATGAGGGTGGGTGTGTCAAATGCTGATCTTGCACAATGCATGAGATTCCATTGCAAAGCGTGATTTGAAAGGATAAACCGAGTCATATACGTGAAGATTGCATGTACGGATGTTTAATACGTGCAATTATGACAAAAGAAGTGAGAACTTACTGAGATTACATATTTGTTTCTACATCTATTATCCAACTTTTTTTGCATATTAAAGAAGAGAAAGATTAAAAAAAATATATGAAAGCAACTCTGTATATATTTTCATGAAGAAGAAAAACGTAAGAGAGATTTGCAATCTCAACAGTATACAGAGTGCATATTCAGAATAAAGTATTTAAAAAGATACCTTGTTTCTTTTGATAGTGAGAACAAATATTTTTCAGAGTAAAGTTTTGTATCGACTTCAAGAAAGATAACAGAAAAAAAATTAATTACAATTTCACAACTTTATTTTTATTGATATTTTCAAAACTAAAAAGATATTCGAATGCTCTTTTAGATTATCTCAAATTTCTAGAAGTAAATGAATTATGAAATATTACATATATAAATTAGTTAAAAAATAATCTAGTCATGGAAAAAACGAGCGCTGAAGAATCTGATAAACAAATCGCATAAATTCCAAATCTCAAAGTATCGCAAGATAATTGCACGGTGTGTAACGATTGCGCTAGTCAGCAAGTCTAATACGTACAGATCAGACAAAGGAGGTTGTTTCTGAAATTTCTAAGCCAAGAGTTCCCAGCGAAGGTCACGTAAAGGGTCCATGTCCAAAGGTGGGTGGGTGTGTCGGATAGTGACCTTCTTACACAATGAACGAGAGGCTAACATCATCAACGGATATGATTTGAAGGGATCAGCGGGGGCGCGGTCGGAGATCCTAGAAGATGTATATAAAGTCTGCTGAAGTCGATTGTAGGCACATTCAAGCAATCGCCGGTCTGCACGATGAAGACCCTCGTAAGTATTCATCGTCGGAAGTGCGCGCTCCTGTCTTTCTTTCTTTTGTTATCCAAGTAATCAACGTGCCGCAATCGGACCGCTGTTCTTTCAGCGGAACGATGGAGTGACATAAAGTGACAAACGCGTTGCGAATACGTAGTTCATTCTTGTCGAAGAATTAAGCAAGCAGTACAATAATCGAATAATTTTATCGCGCGGGAGTTCCGCGATCTATTCACTTGGCATCATACAATAAATATAGCTTTAATGTTAAATTTTTTTGTGGTGTTTCCTTCCAAAATCAAATTTTTTAAATCGTTTAAGTGGAGAAACACTTGGTGCAATATTGTACCGAGCTATGTAATTTATTACTGGACTCACCTCGAATTGAAATTCTCTATCTCTAGTTCATTTCGTTTGCCCTGTGCGCCATTGTTGCTGCGTCGCCTTTGAGCGGTCACGGATATTACGGTGGCCACGGAGGTTACGGTGCTCCCGGAGCTTATGGAGCTTACGGAGGTCTAGGCTACGGCGCACATGGAGTAGCTGTTACTGGACCAATCCTTGGAGCGGCGAGTGTCACCGGTCCACATGTGGGTGCCACTGCAGTTTCTGCTCCAGCGATAGGGCCTGCTCGTTTGTCCGGATCGATGGCTGGTCCCGCTCACGTGTCGGGCGCCGTTGCTGGACCAGCTGTTGTGACTGCATCGGTCGCTGGTCCAGCGCATGTAGAAGGCTATGGTGGTCCATACGACGGTGCCTATGGTGGCTTTGGAGATGGTGCCTATGGTGGATATGGAGGTGCCTATAGTGGTAATTATGTCGGTAAGTAATTAACTAATTATATAAAATTGTCGCATGAAAGAAAAAATCTTTTAACAATAAGTAGTTACAAAAGAAAGAGAGGTTCTAAATTAGAAATAATCTAAAATAAAATAAATTAAAAAAATGTACAGTACAAAAATGTGATTTGAACAAATTGTTAAATAAATTTACATGACTATTTTATATATTTATATCTTTATAGTATATATATATATATATATATATATATATTTACATTTATAAGTTATAGGAAGAGTGCTGTAAAGTACTCTTACATAATATTATTAATACATAAGTAAAAGAACTATTTTTTAAATTTGCAAATTATTTTTATGTGGGTGCATGTGTGCATTCTTAAAAGTAATTGCACTAATTGTACTGAAAACAACAATTCTATCCATTTTTCTAATATTATCCTATTTTCCTATATTCCTATTTTAAATATTATTTTATTTGTTTTCAGGAGGTTACGGATATGCGGCTAGTCCTGCTGCTTATGGTGGTTACGCAGGATATGCTGGCGGTCACGGAGGGCATGGGGTAGTCGTTGCTGGACCAGCTACTCATGGCGCGGTTCTAGCTGGACCTCATTCCGGAAGCGCAGCTGTTTCTGGACCGCATGCCGGTTCGGTGGTGATTGCCGGTCCTTCCGGAAAGATTACGGCCCACGGAAGCGGTTACGGTGCCGCCATCCAGGCCGGTCACGGCCACGGCCACTGGTAACGCGCGCACAACCATCTACAATAACATAAAAGAAAAGAATCTCTCTGAATTATCATCGAAAAAAAAATAGAATACCGTTTCCAACTCCTCCCTGGTTTTCTAAAAGAGATCGAAGAATTATGGGGGGTATAAAATTGCTGCAACACGATGACGTTCGTCGTGCTCGATGCTCTCGGTTTATAGCGTGCGTATGGGTACTTACATCTCTTTTCTGTACGAATAAAATCCTCTTCTTTACAAAAGAAGATATTCATGTAATATAAAATAACCTAGAGAGTGTATTTATATATATGTATACATATAATGTATTGCCTCGTGTATCTCATAAATTTTGATCTCTCACATCTATCAAAAATTTACATACTGTACATTATACGTGACGTACTGTTTTTGTATTGTATATTCTTAAACGTAATTATTTGATTAACATTCTTAAAGAAATTATTAAATCGGATTGTACGATTATGAGAGTCATTGTTTCAATTAATATCTAAGAAATTCTTCGGAAAATCGTGTAGAAACTTTGTATTAAATTACTAAGATTAAAACTAAAAAGCCAGGCCAATTATCTTACACAAATTACCACGGCAATTTGATTAACTAATCTAACCTTCTCTTCTATCAGCAAAGCTGCAATTATTCATGACGAAAGCAATAAGTGATACGGCACGATTATATTTGACTTTAAGTCTTGAATAGTTGTTTGCTATTTAAGCAAACCATTACTGTTTCAATTTTTCCATTTATCATGAAAATAAATAGTGCATTGCAAGTTGACATCGTACATGAAATACACATTTATATTTCAATAAAATTAAAAAGATATACATAATTTATAAATGGTACTAAGATAAAATCGTGCTGAAGCTTTAATACTTAATTTTATCACTTGATGTTCATTTTGCGCTTATTTAATTTTAGCATGCTGTAATCTTACATTAATAATAATGAATAAGTATTATAAGTTACCTAATTAATTAGGATTGACAGAACTTCATCTTTGCTTATTTTTTTCTCACAATTCATATTTTCCGTCCAACGTAACTCACTTAATCTAAATTTCTTTTTTGCTCGCTACCTTTTATGCACTTGCACTTCGTTATTTAGCATATTTTATCGCAATTTTTGAACATAAATAAGATATGGAAATAGTGATACATTACAATCGTTCGTACTTCATACACTGATCAGAAACGCTACGCGTTTCACATCATCATTTGACTAAATAGTTATATCAGTGGCACTGATTCATATCGCTCGGTAATAAATCACTTGTGGTGTCCGTCGAGCATAATCACTAAACGCAAGGAGTTGATGAAACTGACATAGATCCAGTGTGTACTTTAATGCAACGCGTAATGATCGTTATAAAGGGTAAGGTCATCGCGTGACTCGATACAGATATGTTCGCCACTCATAAGCTGAACATGAAAAGTCACGGTCAGAGAGAAAACCAGATAGAACGTTTGTTGAGACATTAATGTAAATTAAAAATTATATTATTATCCAAGACAATTTCATTGATACGTTAAGACAAAAATCAGTTAAATTTTAATAAATATTTATTTGAATAGTACTAACTGAATATTTACTAAACATAAACAGAGTGTCCCGAAATTCGCGAATTAAAATATTACGATAAGAAAGTTTTCAAAAAATTAAGTAAAATAGTTATTTGTAAATTTTTATTTTAACATTATATGGCAATTACTTTCTCTCCAATTACAGACTATGTTTAGACGAACTACGTTGAAATGATGAAGTGCACACGCTTATTAATTTATCACACGCGCGAATGAACAGGTGGCTGTCCAAACTTAACCTTGGCTATATTTAAACCTTTATATCTTAAAAATTACTGTTTGAAATAAACTATTAATAAAGTTATATACACATAACTTTTTCACTTAATTTTTCGAAAACTTTCTTACAATGATATTTTAATTCGCAAATTTCGGGACTGTATTTATTTGGTACAAAATCATTAATTTAATTTAACTCATTTTTTATTTAGTAAATATTTATTTACTGTAAGTAAATGTTAAATTAATATTATTCCAACATTTAATATTATTTAAATTTTGAAAATTTGGTACATTTTTTTTTAATGTAGTAATAATTTCATGTTTTTGTTTAATATAAAACTAATTTACAATATTGTACATCGTGATACATGATGTATATAACAATAATCTATCTGAAGATCAATGTTAAAATAATTCCTGTATTGTTAGTTTGGTGATTGCATATTTACGTATCAGAATAAAATATATAATTTTGATACGATCCATTAGTAATTTTTTGTACACTCGAAGGCCGCGTAATGAATTACGGATGAAAATATACCAAGAAGATATCGGACATAAATTTGAGTATCGGTGCATCTAGCGAGAAATTTATATAGGATTTGCACAAATTCAAGTATAAACCGCGATTTACGATATCTATTACGCGCGTAATTTATCGTGCGATTTACAATCCAGATCGTCACATGGATATATATTTAATCTTGGATTTGCTTATGTTTTCGCCTTTGTCCACCCCTTTTTTCTATAACAAATTGCTATCGGAAAATGATATACTCCATACTTTGTTCGTGCGGCGAGCACTCTCGGACGGAATATCGAGCGACTCTCGATATCTGGCCTTCGTCTTATGGGAAAATCGTGGCCCGAACCACGTCTTGGCTGAGATCTCGGCGACTACGTAATCCCGCGCGTTTCATCATCGCGATGGTAGTTGCATTGTGAGAATGCACCGAACCCTCGCAAATTCCGAAAGGTCACCCACTTGTAATCGGCCGCCCACCGTCTGCGAACGAACAGAATAAGAAATGGGTCGCGAGCAACAGGCCGCGCAGAAGACCATACTGTGTTTTCATGACAGGCCAATAACGTGCACTGTGCAAGGACGTTAATTGCTATGCGTTGACACTGGTGGGCGATAATCGATCGTGAATTAGCGGGCGTCCATAACAGCCGCATCACTCGCAGGCGGTACAAGTTAATGGGCGTTAGCAACCGTGAGAAGATATTGTTCCAATTAACACTTGAGCTTCTAAGATTCACTTAATAATATTGTGCAGCAAGTAAGATTATCGAAGAATTCTGGAAATATTATTTAAGAGGTCACATAATAATTATTACTTAATCCGAATATGAATTCTTTTAACATTTTGCTTATAAGTAGAATTTAGATACTACGAATAGTGCTGCACAAATATAAAAAAATTAAGAAAACCTAGGATCTAAGCAAAAGAGATATTTTAAATAAGCAATAATAATTTTTGTACTATTTCTAAATTATTTTATTGATTTGAGAAAATTTACATTTTATTTTATATTTGTAATGAATATTTTTTTAAATTATACGTGTTTATGTTTTTTAATATATTTTGTGATATAATAATATCGACTATATTGATAAAATAAATGTTTAATCTATTAGTTGATTAAAAGATAACATAACTAATTATTTTGCTTAAATCAAAGATAAGATAATATTTAATAATAAATTTTATCTAAATTAATGAGGTAGATAAGTTTGACACAAAGTAATTGGATAAATTATTAACTTTTCCTCTTAACGTATTTGTTACATAGTTTTACTTTATAAAAATATTTCTAAAATTAAATAATGCAGCTTGCATTTGACGAATGAAGTCTTTTGAGTCTCTGAATTTTCGTAATAAGAAATTAAGTTTGCAAGCGTATAATTCTTATAATATTTATAATTCTTATAATATTTATTTCAAAGAGAAATTTCCAAATTTTGTACACCCAATCTCTTTAAAAAATCCTTAATTAAAAAAATCCTTAATTAAATTATTTAAGTACAACTAATAAAAAACTTGTTAATATATTTAATATCTAAATAAGTAATTAAAATACTCTGTTAAATATCCGAAATTATATTTACCGAGTTGAAAGCTATCAAGAAAAGTAAACGAGTTCGTGCAATTTACATGCAGTTGAATGGACTATCATACTATATCAACTATATATCTAACAATTTTGACAAAACGTCATTGTATTCACGCTTTCTACGAACCGCATTTATAAGGGTTTGAAAACGACGGCTTCCGCGTGTAAATTCGTCTTTGTTGCCGCCATAAATCACGAGTCTTGTCGCAAGTCAGAGTTACGACCGAGACCGATCGTCGTCAGCTACCGGATATAAAGCAAGAAAGCCGGATTGTTTTCTCTTGGCAAACTCATTCTCTTTCTCTCTTACCCCCTCCGCGTTATACGACAACTACGCGAAAATGGTGTGAGGCGTGGCTGATAATAATGTGATGAATAGGGCGTGTGTGAAAGATCGTTAACAAGCCGAACCATAGAGAGTCGCTGTAGATCGTGCAAGGTCGATCGATAGATCCTTCGACAGTCGTAACAGTTTTGGAACGCAGATCCGCGAGCAAAGTATTTCATTTTGAATGCCTGCGAAGAATTAAAAAAAATATATTAATTTTGGAGATTAAGAATATTAATTGAATAAATATCTAGTGAATTTTCTGTTAATTATTATGATTAAGATAGGAACAGTTTAATTACACATATTTCCGACCACGAAATTGAAAAATTTTTTTAAACTGAAAATTTTAAAATAGAGCTGCTAACGCGATAAAAATATATCTTTATACAGAAATTAATTTTTCCAAAAATAGACTTTTTTTTTATCAAATTAATTCTACATTTTGATTGATATTGCAATCGAGTATTTTCGTGAAAAATTTATGAAAATAAATCAATCTCTGCCACATGTATAGTTGACAGTTGAAAATATTGAAATGTTATCTCCCTTTTTTTTATTATCAATTTGGAAACGTTTTTTTAAACAAATTTATTATTAAAACAGCAGTAGCGCATAATGTCTCCAATAAAACTCCATAAAAAGGAAACTTTCAAATCGCGCCAAAATGTATACGCACATCAGATATATATTTGCAGATATATTATACTACCTATATTTCTCAACAGTTTCATACTCTTCGTGAAAATACTACTCACCTGAATTGTAAATATTTCAAACACCAAACGATTGTGGAAATCTCTTTAGTGGAAAGTTCCGAGCCAGAAACTATGCAGGATCATCGTTGCTTTGCCGCCTTTCGATCCCATCGATATCGAATTTTTTCCCTCTCTCATTAACGCCATGCCAATTGACCACCGCATAGCGCGTCTCCATCGATGATGATGGAGAATGCTCCGATGCAGCGACTTTCCACCAGCCATCACAGAGGAACATTGCCGTGCAAGCTGATGCTAAGTGAGCTTTTATAGCCGGGATACAACGGGCATGTGGGACGGTGAACTTGCGACGACGGGATCGAGGCGGGGCTCCATCGCTCGAATCTGTATTCGCGTCCTGGACCCGCGTGACAAGATTTTGAAAAAAAATTAAGTTAAAAGAAAGAAAGCTCGATCAATTGGATTGAAAACATACGAGGTTACGACGCAACCTCGAACCGAGTCGGTAAAAGCGACCGCGCCCAAGCGAGTAGGGGTGAACAACAATTCAAGAAGTTGATTTTATCACTTTCGCAACGTGATGTTTATTGGCGATTCGTTGTCGCGATTGTATTCACTCGGAGATGGAAGGGATCTCCTTGAATGGTATTGTAAATCAGTGCTACAATAAACTGCTCGGTATTTAATGTCATAGAGAAAATACAATCGAAGGTTGTACAGAGAAGTCTGAAATAAAAAATAGTCGATATGTAACGATGTTAAAATAATCGTTGCTGATATTGCTGAGCTGATAAAATAAAATATCTACATGTATATCACTACAAAGTCAAGATATTAGAAACTTTTTCGTAATAAAACTATTTGCAGTTGTTTTGAAATTTTTATTAACATCTAATTATTCTTATAAATATGCTTATTTGCATCAAAAATTATTAAATTGTTGATCAATTTAATAAGTAATATTACTATTCTAATTCTGCTCATGATCGCGTTTCAAGACTGAAAAAGATTTCGACGCGCAGATTGCAGAATCAAATATGTATATAAATTCACACAGAAATATTTAAGCACTAAGATTCGCTTTGGTCTAGGAATTAATCTTATTTAATCAAGGTAGTAGATTATAAATAAAATAAATCTATAAGTATAAAATATTATATTCGTAGATGAAAAAAAGAAGAAAAAGTAACACTCCGACAGGACAGAACACAGCGATCTATTGCGTTTGGCAGACGAGTAATTTGATCTCACGAACGATCAATCTGAGTCACGCGCACATTGAAAACTTTCACAATAAACGATAGGCCATCGCATTCTACAATGCTTGAAGTAGAACTCACTTGACAGTGCTCGGTGATTGATGATGTACACAGCTAAATATACCGTGATGCCAGTGATCACCATGATGAAAATGTGTAACATTGCAGCCGACCACTCATCCGAACCATTAGCTGAACAATAATCGATTAATGCTCGCGATATGCAAGCTAAGCAACTTTGATCATCCCTTTCCTTTATGTTGCGTTTCGTGTTTTGTAATTACAAACCAAACAGTTACAGAGGGTATCAGCGACAAACATGTATAGCCAAAAATTTATTCGGCCGCTCGCATTTTGGATATGCTTTGATAACTAAAATAGAGAACTAATAATACAAGCTGTAAGCACAGTAACGTATGCTTTATGGAATTAATTTACAGAATCTCTACAGGAATAATAATAATAATAATACAATGAATTATAGAAATTATCCAAATTATAAATTAATATAACTAAAATATACTAAAATATACTAACAAATTTTTTACAATTTATTGAAGATTAGATGTCTCGTTTGATTAAAGCGGTTCCAGAAAAATACATCGCTGGAGTCTCGCCAAATTCTACTCGCAAAAATGATTCTTAACCGAGAAACTTTGAAGATCGCTGATCTACGTCGTAACATAGTGCACACAATGCATTTTCCATTTCCTTGAGAGAAAGAAATCACGATGGAGGAAATTGACGGAATGTCCAAGTTAATAAACTTCGCATTTATTATTTTTCAAACACATCGGATGCAGTTTTTTTGAATTTACCATTCTGTAGATGAAATGACGATGGAAAAGAAGAATAGTGAAAGAATTTCCGTATTGCTCGATCAACAGTCATCTTTGCGTTCGAGGCTGCGTATGACGTTCGATAATGGCTCTGCAAACGTTTCCTGGCACCACGTCTGCAATCTGCCGCGAACCTGATAATATCGTCGCGCCCGGGCACGCACACTCATATTCGACAACAATAGAAGAGCCCTCATTCCTGGCGACAATCTGTAAAGCCCGGATGACGCGTGGGCAATGCAATTGTGCCTCGCCTAGACGAATGCACAATACAATACGCAAGGTAATCGTTCTAATGGCGACAGACACGTATTTGCCTACTGAGAGAAAGCAGGAAGAGGACACGCGTAAAATAAAAATCGAATCGTATTTAGTCTCAAGGTTACAGATGGCTCATGATGAGTAGCCATCTTATCTTTTTCCATGCATGATAATTAATATCTATATTTTTTGTCGTTGATGATCTTTTTTATGTAGTCTTTTTTTATCATTCATGGTGTGCGCTTTTAAAAGAAAGCAGATAGAAGATATGAAATAATAGAAGATATGAAAGTCTTTAGAAATCAATGCAAATCATTGTCCAAATACATTCTGTTATTCGCTTTAGCACAAGATATGTCAATCACACTCATGATTGTACCACTTTAGCATACTAAAAGTAAATATTGTACCAAGATATCGATTCGATCTATTGTTGTTGCTACTACTGATTGCGCGAACAGATCGAGGCAAATATAACGCACGAGACCATAAACGGATGTGTTGAAATGGAGCAGCGCGACCCTCGAGCTGCATAGCTTGACTTGGGGCGAGGTGAGACGCAAGGTGCACTCTGGTGTCACTAACACGATGACTTAATGCTGATAAATCGACGAAACGTCACCTCAGCTTGCGGAGAATGTTTGGCGTGTCCTGTGCCCCGCCCGTAGGGTTGGCGGGAGCATTGGGGCCCCTTCGGGGAGATAACATGGGAGGGGCCCCTTCGGGATCCTCGAACGACCCTATAAAAGCGTAGTGAACACCGATTGATGGCAGCCACATCCACCTCAGCCATCGAGGCAAATTTTTTTAACATTGTACCTATCAATTAATTATTCTCCTTTTCGTCATGTGCTTCCTAGTCGCGATTCTTTTCGTAGCGGCTCTATCGGTAACAACCGCGGCGCCGTCAAGTTACTTGGGTCATGGTGCCGCGTTAGCTGGACCAATCTTGGGACCTGCAGTTCTTGCAGGTCCTATTAATGGACCGTCCGCACTCGCTGGTCCAATAGTTGGACCCGCGCGCATATCTGGAGCGGTTGATGGTGGTGCTATCGTTACTGGTGCTGTTGCTGGGCCGTCAGTCGTTTCGGGTAGCATCCCTGGACAAACGGCGATTGTCGGCTCAGCTCTTGGCTATGCGGCACCAGCCTTAGGATGGCCAGCTTATGGTAAGCCATTGATTTGTTATTATCAATAATAAACATTAGTGAGCTTTGAGACGTAAAATATTAATTTTTTATTGTTAAAAAGATTCTATTTTGAAAAATCTTAAAGAATTTTAAAATATAAGTTTGATGTATATGGTAGTAGTGCGTGTTAAAACATGATTTTAATAGTTACTGTCTGCGCATTCATATTTTTTATTTGGTTCTTGTGACGGTGAAAATTATGATAACATCCACGCGTGTATCATTTCAAAAACGACTCTAAGCTAACAGAAACACAGTTTGATGCAATAAGTATAAATTAAAAAAAAACGACCAAACCTTTGTAAGTACTGTCGTTTGACAAAATATAAAAGTATACGAACATGTGGCATTAATAATAGCAAAATTAATAACAATATTGGAAGACTGATTCCTTCTGATTCCTATCATTTAGTGTTTTTTAATTAAATTTAAAATAGTTGACAGCCTATTATAGATTTTATAGATATATTTTTTTTAACATTTTTTCTGCATTCAAATTGTCTATAAATAAATAAAGGTAGCCAAATCCTTACTCCGAGAAACAGCCCCAAGCGTGCATCTTTACCGTGTGTTTAACGATTCGCTGGATAAGTTTACTGGTGGTAGTATAAGATCGTTGAACGAAGGTATCGTTGATAGAAGGTACCTAAAAGGTGTTTCGTCCGTAAAGATTATTTTGCTCCAATCGCGATCCTTATTTCCTTTTGTCCAAGCGAATCGTGTTCCATATTTTTCCGTTAGCATATACTTCTTTATTTGTTGCATTAATTATAGTATTTATAAGTTTGTTAAAAAATTGTTTTGTTTTTTCCTTAAGTTTTGAAAAAGAGGTCAAAGAGGCTAATTCTTCAAGATATCCTCGTTCATGATCTTCTTCATAGTCTTCTTCATCCTCTTGATCAATTCCTCCATTTCCATTGGATGCTCCTTTTTCATATCCTCTTTGTACTGATCTTTTATTGAATGTATCTGCAAAGTAAATCAATACTATTGATTGATGCATTTTTTATTGTAAATATATATATATTTATTAGATATACATACGTCTTTCTATTGCTTGCTTATCTATTCTTAGAACTGTCATAGATTCAGCATAATGATGCACTAGCATCATTATTAGTAAGGAAAATACGACCTGAAATTTTTAACACAGATCGTAGTTCGAAGTACGAGGGCCAAAAAGTTTTTGAATTTAGCCTTATAATTTTCTGAATCTCACTTGCAACTTATTTAGCTTTGTCAAAAATATCGAAATACTTTCTTCCTCGATTTATTGAAAGAGGGGTATCAAGTATTAACTATATGAAAGAGAATATTTCGAAGGAGACAGAAATAAGTAAGAAAATTCCAAGAAATTATAAAAACAAAAGAACTGTTTTAATTTGTTTTAATAAATTTCGACATTGTTATACGTGCAGAAATTTTAACTACAGTTAAGACACAGAAAGTTAAGCCACAGTTACTGAAAAAATTTACAATATATTTTAAGGAAGCCATTGTTAAGGATTCTTTTCAGTATCTTTCCTAGATTTTCTGATATAAACCATAAGAAATAGAGAGAAATTATTATACATTAATATATGTTAAACATTCACATATTAAACATTTCGATTTTTTAAATATTTACCTGATGTATGTTACAAAGACTACTAGCTGAGAAACGAATATTTACTGTTGTATGTTATGCGTTTGCAAAATCTATATATAGTAATGATAACATATTGCGGAAGTATAATATAAATTATATTTAGTACAGAATTTTCGATATCTAAATTACTAGGACGTTATATATATGAGTAACTGCAAAGGCGAACAATTTTTATTTTAAATATACATTCTTCCGGTATGTATATGTGATCAAATAATAATTGTACAAAGTACAATCACCAAAAATATTTGATGAATATGTCATAGGCGTTTTCAGGGAGGGGATTTTGGAGATTCAAACCACCCTCGAAATTTTTTATTAATTATTTCATTTTGAGAGGATTCCGTTAGTGTACATCCCGATAGCACACAGCCACTCACATTGGTCTGTGCCTAATAATTTTTCACTAATTTACTGATGTGAATATTTTATTTTGAATTGCATTATATTAATTAGCAAGGTACTTTATCGAATTCCTTTCTTTCATTTTTAATTGTAAAAAACATACAAGTTTACTTTTGAATTTATATGAGCTGATATTTGCTGTTACATAAAGTATTTTTTCTTCTCGTCATAAGACTATATAAGTAATTTTTAATACTTCTGTTACTTCGAGCATACAATAACAATATTAAAGAATTGGATACTTTGCTTGTAGTATCTAACTGTATTATCCTTCTTTTAAAAAAAGTCTTTAAAAAAATAAATAATAGTTGCATGATGTACAAAACATAATATTTTTCCTCTTCAAAATGAGATACAAGAAGACATTAAAGCTGTAAAAATATACAAATGAAATTCATTTTTGTCATGAATTCATTAACGTCAAAAATTGTTAAAAAACGTCACAAAATGGTGCAGCGACAGCTTTTCAGTAATAGCAAAATTCCCTTCCTTTTTTAGTCCTCAATCCGGTTGACGCATGGTACACACCCCTGGGTTGATAAAAAAATCTTCTCTGAAAAAAATTTCACGGTACAACTATAAATATATTTATATATTGGTTGTCGTTTTTCTTTCTGATTCAATGTTATCAATTCTGAAATCTTTAAAGAATGGACAAAAATATGGGCAACAGTTTTGTTTGAAATATTACTTGTACTAACTCTCTAACACTACACAGAATTTCATCGTTGTAATGATAGTCATCTCGATCAGTCCAGAACTTCAAAATCAATCTGTCTGTAATCTCAGACATAATAGCGTAATTATGCTGCATATTTTAGGAAACTATATATTTCAGAACCTCTATTTGCATCTATTGTGTGCAGTTATTGTGATTACGTAAATTTTATTCTCTGTCGTCGTCGGACTAACAGTTGAGTTTTGCAACTTTACTCGGTTTATTTGTGAATTCCGTAGCTCTAGCTGGATTTGCAAGTCCTGTGATTTCGGTCGCGAAATCTGCCATTTACAGATTTCACGACCGTAATCTGTTTTGTTACACGTTTAATAACAATTGCTATGAAGATAATGGCTTTTGAGCCTCAAGTAATTCGAAGTATTTTTTTTAAGATATAGAAATTACTTTTATTGCCAATATGAATAATTAAAAATCTCAATACATTATTTGCTGCTGCTAAATTTGCGGGAGCGGTAATTGTTCCAGCAGCTATGATTGTTGATGAAATTATGGTCAAATTCATGTGACGATACAATTACATATAATAAATATATAGACTTATTTTTACAAATAAAAATCACATTTTTTTCTGTCTCAAATGATTATTGCTTAAATGTCAACTAAACATTTAGACAACATTCTTTCATTTACAGAAACCTAAATTTAGATTGTTTTATAAACAATTTTAACTTGTATTTTATTTTGCTTTATTTTTTGTTACTATTACAGATATATTACATTTGTCGAAATTCTTTACAAGTTTCTGAAAATTATATATAATTATATAAAATTACTATTTTATGACACAAATACGTTTTACTGATTATATTTATTAAATTTTTAAAAATAATATTTTGTCTCCAAAATATATATAATAGAATAATATAAATAAAATATATAGAATTTTGGAAATACAGTTTTATTTAATATTTAATTTAGACCACGCCTCTAATTTTCAAAATCAATGTGAATAAGATTTCAAAAATTATGAAGTATTGGTACGTGTCTGAAAGACGCTTATCAATACTTTACAGTCCCTGAATTTGTTTGCATCGATGGCTTTACGTTTTCGCTCGGAGTTCAAATTGGACAGGCCTGATTTAGACGAAACTTAATTGTATGTATAGTATACAAAAATAGTAGAATTTTTGTTTATTTGACACGTTCTAGAGAATTCAGTCTTTGAAAAAAATTTTTATTTGTAATTTCTTTTAAAAAAATTTGTTTTGTAATTTCTTGACTCAAAAATATTTCGTTATAACAATAAGAGATTTAATTTGGATTTCCTTTAACAAATTATTCAAATATATTTCAAATAATTATTTTAACAATAAAATTTATTTTTGTTTCCAAAAAATATATTATTTCAATCATAACCACAGAAATGGATCAAAATAATTATTTGTTTATTCCGAATTTGCCAATTTAAATATATAAAAATGTTTATTTACTGAATCATTACATTTATGTTTAGAATATTGAAAATGCACATATCCCTCTTATTTTGTACGTATTTCAAATGAATAAATTACAGTTTTTCATATTTCTTATACAGGTTCGTATGGAGCTGTACTCTCTGGTCCTGCTGCAGGTCCAGCGGCTCTCGCTGGACCTATCGCAGCTCCAGCTCTGATCACTGGACCATCCGGTAGCATTTCTGCTGGACACAGTGGATTAGGTAATATCGTTCGTGGATATGCACCTGGACACTGGTAATTCACGTCATCTGGCAACATGAACTAGGACCTCTGCAATTGATCTCTTAGACACACAATCTCAATCACGATCTGCATCACGATCTTCGTCATTCGGCGTATTATCCATCACTGTATTTCTTATATGTGTACATAACAAAGTTTCGTATATAACGTTACATTTAATAATAATAAATGCATGGCACTCCTGGAAATTTTTTGTCTGTTGCCTTTCCTACACGCATTTGTTATAGCTGGTTTATATGTAAATATATATGTCTTCAGTAAATCAAAATCTGTAGTGTCCCTAAAGGAAAATTTTCTTTTAATGTTAAAAAGAAAAAAATTATCAAGGAATAACGTCTTCTCGTACATTCTTGTTTTATATTTTACAATAAATAATATTAATATTGATTATAAATGAGCTGATGTTAAAGAAACGATATAATATTTTCCAATTGTTTTGAGAATTTATTATACGGCAATATTAGCAAACAAATAAAATTTGAGTGAGCAGGAGCCATTGTTTTGACATGTATAACATCTACTTAGGAACTAATAGAATTTGGCGCAGTCAGTCGACAACTTCTGTTTCGCAGTCATCCATTGCAGTCATCACTAATGCCAAGGTTTCTATTGCACGATGATACTCATCCTCCTTTGATAATTTTTAGAAATTGCTTCAACGCCATATCAATCAGTCGCGTATTTTATTTCATAAAGGACATAGGCGTTTGCGCGGATATCGAAGTATTTTTTTTCGACTTGCTAGTTCAATGCGCAGTTATGCTAGAATATTTTACGCATATTGGTTTTTTAATCTCCATTTTTAATCACGATCATTTTTAATCAGACAAATGCGAGACGCTGTATCATAATAATATCAGTACATCACCGTCTGCATGCTCGTATTTTGTATTGAATTTTTGTAGCTGCGAAAATAATGACGATATTCACGCTTCCACACACGTATTTCGAAGACGACTGTACGCTTATAGAAACAAAGTTTTGTGCAACAAATATAAATTCTTAAAAAGTAGACCAGATTAAAACCTTCGCTGCAATATGTTATTATATATAAAATAGAAAAGGTATGGGATCAAATATGTGATACTTCTTAGTACACATTAATTCTAATTTTCCGGTTCTTTATTCTACGATGAATCATTTGTCCCGGGTTAATTTTCATTATTTTAATAACAAATATACAAAAATTAGTAAGCTCTTCTTATATGTACTTGTAACATCTTAGAAAGTATTTGTAAGGTTATGTATTCAAAACATTGTAAATATTATAATTAATTTCTTAATGTTCCCCTTTTTTTTGAAGAAAAGAAATATGCAGGACACGTGATCTAATTGTGTCCTGCATGTTAATATTCATAAAATTGATAAGAATATTTTGTTGATGGACTGATTCCTTTTGACACCTTTTAACTTTTTAATTGATTTTAAAAAACTTACCGCATATTGTGGATTTTAGAATAAATAATAAATTGACTCTTCTAGAAGGCAATATTATTTTTTAATTATTTTTTTCGTATTGATTTATGACCGTAATGTTGGACTCTCTGATATGTATAGTCAAATATTTGCACACTTTGCTGTTTCATATTAAAGTAACAGTGCCATTAATTTTTTGCTCAGATTGGACAATGTATTATATTATA